ATTTTGCTACAGGATAAAAACTCAAAACCACCTCAACTGTTACTGCCAAATAGCTAATGGATATTAGAGTGAAAATTCTCCGTTGGCCGCCGCAGGATTTAAGCTTAATAAAAATATTAGGAAGAGAAATACAATTTTATTTAGGGAAAAGGCCGAAGAGTGTTTAAAGGTCCGTTAGAGTACTCAGAAGAGTTGGAGAAAAATATCAAAAAAACATGTTCACGCATCTGGTAGATCCGATGAAGAGCAGGTTACAGGAGATATTCGGGGAAAACGGGTATCTAACAAAATACTAAATCTCCACTCTTTATTACTTTACCTCTTGTCTTTCCCCTTATTTGTAATATTAGTATTCAAGTTTGACAAATTTTGTCAGAATTTTATATTTGTCGTTATTACATGCAATATTTTTCTTCAGTCACTGTATTTTTTGACTTTGTTTACTTATAAAATAACTGGTAAAAGTGTAATTCTCGAGTAGGCTGAGGATTTTGTAGAATTATTTTCAAAAAGTACTTTAAGTTAAAAATTCAAAAATTAAAAATTAAAATGAACTTTTTTAGCGCTGTTACAACATTCCGTCTCCAAACTAGCTCTTTCATCCTTGTCTAAGCTATTCTGAACATAAACTCAGCACTTTCGTGTACGACAAAGTATTGCTTTCTGTATTATTCTTCAGCACCACTACGAAAAAAGTTGAAGCGTTTTTAGACACAGTATAGCTGAATAGACTTTCAAACCTTTTCCTAAACATTAACCTTGAGCTCATTTCCTTTCATTTCATTTCCTCCTTTTTAAAAAGAGAATCCTTGCCTTTGAGGAGTTCTCATTCCCTCCTTGCCGCCAGTAAACGAGGCAGCAGACAAGCACCTGCAACCACCGATAAGGTGGTTAATAAGAGATAATTTTAAGTTGGGAAGAATTTATGAGAGCCTTAAACGTTATCCCCGTTTTAACTGCTTTTCTAGTTTCCTTTGCATCCATGCCCCAGACTCCTGTCGCTAAACAGTGAACCACTGACTAGCACAGGTAACAGCACTCCTATTTTCTGCTCCCGAGATCAAAATATGACTGATGCGTCCTTAAAAATATCAAAATTTTGCATACAGTTTTAAAGGTTGCTTGGGCAAGAAAACTCTTCGGTAATACTTCACAGATACAATCACTTTATGGCACAAGAATAAAAATAAAGCAGCTTTGAATTAGTTGTGACTTATGCTGATGCAGTTATTGCTTTTTAGGCAGAGATTGTTCCAAACTTCACACATTTACAACGCAGCAGTTTAATCTGCTCAGTTGCACAAAGACTATAAAAACTAATCAAGTATGTGTTACACAAAATCCGCAACAACAGCTCTCAGCAAAAGAAAATTTTTAAATTTCTATTTGGTCAAAACCAAGTTGCGACAAGGCTTTTTAACCAATTCATTATACGCCAAAATTTTATTGTCTTTTAAAGCTTTTCCTCAGCTCTGTGTTTTATTTTTTTCTATAAGCAGTTTAAAATGTTTATGAGAGTATCATTTCTCTGAAAAACTTGAAAGTTTTAAAAACCATATTTTCTGTTTGAACTATTTTCACGTAATTTTTTCTGGAAATTTACGGTTGTTTTACTGCTTGACTAGTATTACGCCACTTTGAGGAAGAGTTGAAAAAACGAAATTACAATTAGCAGCTAAAATTTTCAAGAATCTAAAGAACTGCTACGAAACACTTTTATTTGTGTTACACGACCTTTTGCAATTCCAGCCATCTTAGACGTGTCCCTATAAAAATGATGGTTCTGACAAAAGTAAACGACTTAGCTATTTATATTATACTCCAAATTTGATACAGGCTGAATGCTGAATTTGATGACTGCAAATGGCCAGAATATTATATCCTTTTTGAACTAACACACAGAAAAAATTGCTCACTTTTTACTCTTACTTTTACAACTACCTGCTTCTCCCCTTTTTCCCTATACACTCCAGATAAAAATAAACGTTTTTTGGAAAAGATTTATTTGCCAAAATAAAAAGTATAAAAACATCAACGCTAATCTTTGTCATTCATAGATGCGCTGCGCTCTTTGACTTGACTGAAAGCAAGTAAAATGTTTCTAAAACTGAAAAATTGTCTCAGTTGCTTTTTGAGACTTTGAAAATTGTTACATTTATCAAAACTACTCGTTATCTGGCAAAAAAAGCTAACCACTTCTGCAAGTTTAAGTACTCCAGGGATGGTTGCGAGAAACGTTGTGTTCAACTGCCCTTGTCGACTATTAGGTATTATTTGGATTTTGCTCGACATATTTGGGTATTCATGTAGCTGAACCTTCGGATCATTCCTAGTTACAATTGAAAATTAATAAAAAAAAAAATGAGACCTAAGCAGCTACCTGTTTGATATAACAAATAGTACCGTATTGTTGATATTGTAGGCACAGTTTCTACTGTGTCGTTTGAAGGTGGATGTGCCGAAGATAATTCTGGATTGGTCATGGCAGCATTACTTTCATGAACCGTAATTTCTTCTGGTCGCTCAGGAATACTTTCTTCTCGCAACATCTGCAAAATCAGTTCTGTTGCTTCTTCGTCTACCTTACGCAAAAACAAAAAACAGGTTCAAAAGCATTGATGAAGCAATACACATAACAGTAGTAGTAATCTGCTACAACTTTTGACGAAAGTAACGTAATATTTTTGAGCAACATCCGATGCCAAATAAGAAAAAATTACCAACGACTTGAACTGCACTGTTTGCTATTTCAATTAGACAGTCAATAAGAATGAAAATTTTTTTACCAGCACATCGCTTAATAAGTTCCTTAAAATTTCCGAAATGAGAAGGCGCAAAAACTAATAAATAAAATTTAATGACTTGTAGCAAGAAGGCTTAAACTTACCTTTCACATTTGCTTTTATCTTTTTTTATCCCTTTGCAGCAGTCAGTAAAATAATTTTAAACGATAGAAAAGTCGTCATCAGTCCCAGAGACCGAAATAAATTTTCTAAGAATTTTTAGGTCAAAAGACGCAAAAAGTTTTTTAGCTCTTCAAATAACCAGATAAAAAACCCAAGGTTGAAAAAAAACAGTTTCCGTTGGATTTTCATAATAGTCATTTCAAAAAAAATTTCAGTAACAATTGTGCAAAAGAATGTTTCAAAAACTGCAAGATTAAGATTAGCTGATATCTATAGTTGGAAAAAAAAAAAAACACAAAAAAAGATACAATTTCACAAAGGCCGAATTTGAGCGACATTGGCAGCACACTTTAAAAATTGTCATCTAAAATAACGGCACCGCCGAAATGTTGGGAAAAAAGAATCGTGTAGAATTGTATTTGAAGAACTGAACTTTTGCAGTGTTAAAGTCGAGCATTCTAAAACCAACCAAATTTTTTCTGCGGTAAAACAATGCCGTTCAATATGCACTACCACCATCACCAAATTTAACAATTATCGGAGAGTTAATGGCAACAATGTTCAAAGAGTAAGCAGAGAAGTGGAAAAAAATAAATGTAGATCACATAAAATGAATTACAGAAAACAAACTGTATTCTCATAATTTATACTACAAAAAGACCAAATATTGGTTGAATCCTATCATCTTGACAACCATTATAACTTATTGGCCTATATCCTAATCCTTCAAAGGTTAGAATATCAAAGAAACCCGATCAGGCAATCCTTAACCGTTTCAAACAACCAAATTTCTTGTCACAATCAGAAACAAATTCAATATTTGAAATTGATAAACGAAGCTATTTTCTCACTGCTTTTCAGCAGTAATCTCAGACCCTAAACTGTAACAATAAAACTGGTTTAGAAGCTTGTCCCCCCAAAAACTTTGGTAACTATCAGCAAAACAAAACAGTGTTTCATGTTATGCAATTCTCCGTGTTATTTGTTGCTTTAATAATCATCTAGTTGGCAAAAGACACTGATGTATTCATTTGTGTCATTACATCGGTAGTTATTGATAGAATAATAGCGTTTCAATTGCTCATTTTTCACATTTTCCTTTATATAGTATTATTTAATACCAAAAGTTGCATCAACATTTTCGAATTTTAACTTCACACTAGCAGTTTTTTTTTTTTTAAAATCACTCATCATTTTGAAACAAAGGTTGTCAACTGAAAATCAGCGTGCAAATTTATTCCGTGCGATCAGCAAATTGAAAAGACAGCTAACTTCAAACTGCTGTAAACGCCAACACCGATCTCAGACAATGGCGGAATAAATAAACCTGATGACCATAATTTGGTAAAACGAAAGGTGAGCTTACATGACAACTAAAACTACACAGATATACTGTTTATTAAAATGACAATTTTTATCAACAGTTATCACTGACAAATTTTAAAAATACCCTAAATTTCAGGCAAACCAAACATACAAAACTGTTTCGC